TGGTCCAGGCGTGAGCCTAACCCGGGATCGGCGGGAGACGGGAGACCGGGAACGCCTCGTAGTTGCATGGTCATGCATCGCTCTGACGTTGCTCGAGGAGCTGAGTGCCTGAACATCGCGTGAAGAGCTGTGCGCCTGAACATTGCGTAGGTGCACGAGGCCATGCGTCTGGACAAAGAGCTGCATCTCATTGCCATTGATGAAGTTTGGAAGTTGCTCAAGAGTAACTTGGCTGGTAGTCTGCGCCGTGCCGTCAGGGCGCAGAAGGCTGCTAACCACATACTCCGCCATGCTCAGGTGAAGAAGCGCCGCAATGCAAGAAGCCAACACATCCGAGCCAACTGCATGCATGCAGGCACATGAAGGAAACAGCAAAACCGCACCGTCAAGCAATCTCAAGGAAACACCACAAGCACAACAGCGACAAGGTAGCGTACAGATTTTGCCGCGAATCGTCGCCGAACATCACGAAGGAGATGAGGATCGAACGAAGCCTTTGGCTTCATAAAGGCGTTTGAGAGCGTCTAGTCCAATTTGTTGTTGAACTGCAGGTTGAGCTCCACGTACAATGAGCCACGATCGGGATGACCACGAAGAGTAAGTAAACATTTGATCATTGGCACTTCGGATACCTTTGATCTGAGAAGGATGATCAGGTAGTTGCGGTGTGATAGTCCTGGACGATGAATCACACATGTAGCCCAGCACTTTGGCATCATTCTGGGTCTCCAGCATCACAGGGCGACGATAAAATTCCAGGGAGAGAAAATTCATGAGTACCGCTGTGGATGGGGCCGAATCACGCAGAAGGATGAAGCGATTGTCGACATAGCGCTCGTGCCAGATCACCCCGAAGTCGGACATACGAAATCGAAGAGAGCACATGGTTTGATGCCAGAAGAAGTCCTCAACCGTGGCAACCAGATTGCAGAGTGGGGGCGCCGCAGGTGATCCCATAGCAACACCACGTTCCTGCCGGAACAAATAGCCCTTAATCTCAAAATGACTGTTATCAATGACAAAGTCAAGGAGGCATCGAAGGTCTTGCTCACGAAAGGTTCGAGGGACCTTGGTTTGACGGCGCCATTTGCCTTTGAACATGCGACGTCGATGATCCGACTTCACCTCGTACACCGACCACTGTGAAGATCTGCGGAGACCAACTACTTGATCATATCGGTGTAGCAGAACCTGTAGCGCTTGATGGAAACGCTCCGTGGGTATGGATGTGAAGAAACCGGAAAGGTCCTGAGACACCAGGTGGATGTATTCGGTGGGCTCTTCATGTGATAGCGCATCCCAAAGCTGCTGGACTAGCTCCTGAACCGAAAGCTGACCTGTTACGTCTGGAAAGGTGACTTTGGTGAGTTCAAAGATGAGGGCGCCGAAGACCGTGAGGAGGGGAAAGAAATACTCGGTCTCGCTTTTAGCCAGTCCTTGGTCGGTTTGGGAAGGATGCGAGCTGTGGGCAGCGGTGCCTGGAGTCGAAGTCCCCAAGCGTAACGCTGTTGTAGGAGAGCAGGTATCGTAGTGACAACTTCAGAGCGAAAAGACGCTGCAGACTCACGACATGTGCAAAATGTCTTGTGCATCAGTGTGGCAAATAACGAAGGATAAATCACATGAGCACGCGAAGGGAAATGATCCGCTGGGATTACAACCCACGATGACAGAGAAACCATAGTACGCTGTAGTGACGCGGAAGTCCAGTGCGCGTGGTCTTGAACGTTGGAGCGATGTGCATCGATCAACTCCGTCAGAACAGGTTGAAAATCTGTGAGGAAACTGGATCCATGTACATGCCAGCGACAAGCCAGTTTACGAAGCTGCGTGGTGAAACGCTGATGAAGCATGTCGACATCGCCAAAATACTGATCCTTCATGGACGCGGTCATGATGTCAAGGTCAATGTCCGCATTGATGCGCGAGAACTCATCCACAATCACGGCATGATCATGCGCACGATACAGGTTGCAGGCATCCATGTCCGAACTCCGAACAGTGACACGGAAAAGACGTGTCAGGAGCCCACCTGCGTTGCCATGTGCGGTAGTTGTAGATCCTGTCTCCCAAGGTAGCACTGCGAGTTTCCACAACACGGATCTTTGGAAGAAATAAGGAAGGAAACAGATCACGATGCGATGCTACCCAACGCTGCAACCATGTTCCAAGCTGAGCCTTCCAATTCGGAACATGTAGAGGTGGGAGAAGTAGTTGTGTCATGGTGCTTGGTAACTGAAGCTGCCGTTTGCGCATAACCTGGGCGAGGAGTTTCTGTGCCTTGGAACGAAAAGTCTCGTTGACGAAGACGGAGAGTCGCAGGAAGTAGTAGAGCTGGGTGGGTGGAAAAGCCGCCGACAGCAGATCGCGCATAGTTTGAAACGACGCACCTGTGGTGGATCCCAGTTGGTAAAGAGTGGAGTAGTGTGCTTGAATGTCATCCAACATTTCGGGTCGTAATTGCCGATGGAGATCAGGATGTAGTCGTCGCCGAAAGCGCTTGTGTAGCGAGAGTGAGGTAGGCGATGACAACGAATGGCGCCAAAAGTCAACCAGATGTTCACGGAAACCAATTTTCCGAAGAAGTCTGTGTACCCAGGGAGCATTTAGATGTGGACGTAGCATGTATTGCCACTTGCTTTCCTGAACCCAAACCGAGGAAATGGGAAGTTTAATCTCAACCGGAATGGCACAAAAAAGCCAGTAGGTTGGATCGCTTCCAGTAGTGAAGTGCAGGCTCAAAGAAGGCGTGGTGTCCCCGAAGTAGTTGTAGAAATTTTCGGCTGCGCGAGTGTTCTCGGCGAAGAACATCCTGATCTGTTGCTCCAACGTAGTAGGGACTGTGCCATGGTGAGAGTCTGATGTAGACGCATGGTTGCTGATGGTGACCTGGATCCTGAATGAAGTCAAAGAGGTCCAGAAAGCGTGTGCGTAGTGATCGAAGGTGTCTCATATCCGCAAAAGTGGAGTGCGTGATTTCACACAGCAGTGACGTCTTGTAAAAGTGAAGAACCTCGAAGAACGGCGGAATGTACCCATAGTCTTGAGAAATGAGACGCTGCAAAAAACTGATCAACAGATAGGCAAGTGTTGTAGCCCGAATTATGTTGCCAGGAGACCAAGTTGTTCCAATCCATGCCATCCGAGACCTGGTTGTCATTGTGTTCACGTCTGCGTGCTTTGCGAGGCTGGGGGGAGGGACTCCGATCCCGTCTACGCCGAGTTCTGGATCTGTCACGATCATCCCGGCATGACATGACGAAACAGCAACACGTCCGAAAATGGAAAGCTCGCCCTTGAGGAAGGATACAAACGACAAACCACCATCAACGACAACTCAAGATCAAGGACATGCATGTTCACAACGCAAGGCACAATCAACGACAACTCAAGACCATGGACATGCATGTTCCCAACGCAAGGCACAAAAGAAGCTGCCAGCAGCGACATCCAGCATTGTGAAACTTAGCTATGAAGAGGTGGCTGTCTTCCCTTTAGTGAAACCTCGTTCCTGCTTAAACGTGAAATTCCGCTGTTCTATGATAAGCACGTTGAGGTCAAATTTTCCGGCGAAGCCGGCCCGGTGTCACACGATGGGTACACCCGAGGATCCCCCACGAATGGGGTATTCACACTTAGACTCCAGATGGAGGGCGCTAATCTTTCGAGTACAACTGGTAAGTCTCGGCTTGGGTAAGGTTCTTCCTGAATAAGTTTCGGCTCGCAATGCACTCGGCTTCCCTCTAGTGTCGAAAACGTTACCCGAAAGAACAAGAAGCACAAACAGCGCCGCAACCAAGGGGGCCAAAAAGACATTCAGCAACATCACTTTACACATGCAGGTACGCTGGGATGATCAGTCCCAGTATCACCACCGATGGCAAGTGTCTTCGTTGGCAGGAGACTTGCCATGGTGCTCCTGCCCCCTGCAGTTGTATGGTGGCAGGGTGTTCCGCCACTCCGCACACACACGCACACGCACGCACGCACACACGCACACACGCGCACACACACACAAACACAAACACAAACACGCCCAAGCGCGCAGGTACAGTACGTGCATACACCCACACACACATGCGCGCGCACGCACACGTGCGCGCGCAGGCATAGGGAGCAGTTTTGGAGCCAACTCAACCCACATTCACTCAACGTGCATGAGTATCCTGGTGTGGCCACTGCTTCTTAGAGAAACACCTCAATATAGTAATGGCTTCGCGCTGACAGAAGCAGGCTATCACCCCGAGCCAGCCTTCGCCCTGCTCAAGTCCGGTCGGCCCTCCGTGCGGCCCGCAGGACAATACGTTCCTTCCCATAACCTTAGAGCTGAGCCAACAAAAACCAGCAAAACTGCAAGCCAGAAAGCTAGCCATTTAATGTCTCTCCAAGGGAAGGTTTGGGAGAAAAACCAAGTGGGTTTGAAAAAGAACCACCCTGATATCCGTATTCCCTACTATCGGTCAGTACCGTTTTTCCTCAGCATCGGTTTGCAGTGGTTCGGCAGCTCTAGCTCGAAAGTCGTGACTTTTCCGTTTAAGTGTAGTATACGCAGTACACTCTGGCAGTTCCGGCTCGAAAGTCGCAACTTTTCAGTACAAGTGTAGTGCGCAAAGTACATTTTGGCAGCCAGCAACTGTTCGTAGTATATGAAGTACGCTTTGGCAGCTCCGGCTCGAAAGTCGCAGCTTTTCAGTGCAAGTAAGTGTAGCATAGTGTAGCACACCAAGTGCATTTTGGCAGCTCCAGGGAAGGTTGCAGGGCAGCTGGTTGGATTTGGCATAGCGGCTAATGAGTTGGGTATGGTTTGGGTATCGGTTTGGGCCCTGCAAACTTATGATTCCGCAATCTCGGTTTGCGACAACAACTTGGACCTGATGTGTGTCTTCATGGCTTCTGGGGGTATCGTTATTTTTCCTCAGTATCGGTTTACAATGGTTTTGGCCTGCAAAACAAGTCAAGGGACGGCCCCTTACATAACGAAAAGGCGCGGGGTTGTTTGTTCAGCCCAAGTTTTGGCTGAGTTGCTTAGCATCATCTTCCAACAGTGGCCCTGTCCGCACGCTAACTGGAGGCGCCAGTGGCAAGGCACAACAAATGAAGTTGTATCGAACTTCCCCTTGCAGCGGCTCACCCGCAGCCACCTCCGGAACTTGCGCCTCCAGGAGAAACCGCTTTAGGCCAGTGTCTCGAGGGCACTCAAGTCGATGATGCCCCAACGCCGACAAATCGCTCAAGTGGCCAACCTCCCCCCATTCGGTTTCTATTTCTTGGCACTCACCAATACCCTGAGCAGAGCAGCATGTGTAGGTATACTGGTAGCCAGCTCCATCTTCACCTTGACAAGATTTGTAGGCAAACCGCGTCATGAGCGTTCCTGCTTCGCAATCAGCTCCAACATCATGTCTATCAAGTTCCCACAGGTGTGGCGAGCTGCTAGTGTGGGCGATACAGCGAGTGGCCTTTTGTGAACAAGCACCTGTGGAGCCGACAGGAACAATCGTTTCGCATCCGTAGAAGTACCGATAATAATCGGCATGGTTGCAAGAGCTGTCTTGTCGGAAGGAGTAGGAGCTCAGAACTTGTCCTGAGCCACAGCCAACGAGGTCCTGGCCAATGTTCAGGTTGGGCAAGTACTTGTTACGTGCATGGACACAAGAGCCAGGTTGAAGGTTCTGCCCAGACGCGAGTTGTGTCCATTTGGCCACCAAAGGCGCTAAGTAGTCCAAGCTGAAGACTTGATGGATATGTTGCTGGATGTCACTCTCTGGAGCACAGTCGACCATCTTGCCGGTCATGGGCTGAACGCACGCAAGACCGGCGTTTTTCCTGCTGCGATATACCAGCTGAGCGTTGCCTATGGCTTGTTGGGACTGGAGCAACTCCCAACCTTTGCTGAAGGGAGTGCCACAGGTCGCCCAAAAAACTGAATCCTCCTTGGAAATGTAAATCTTATTGATGCCGGTACATCCAGACGCGAGCTCGCCTGAGAACTGCAAGCGACCCTTGCCGCCACTACCACGTACAAAAATCGACTTTTTGACGGACTTGAACTGGCCCTTGGGGACTACTTTCTGGGTGCTGGAAGCATCCACCACTTGACCCTCTGTTCCGACCATGCAGCCAGTTGTGTCGATTTCTTTGCGACTGTCGCCGTAGGTAATGGTGACCGTGTAAGGGGTCCCTTGCTCACTCGCATCCAGCTCAATCTCCCATCGAGAACCAGAGCAATCGTTGTTGGCATCAATCATCAAGCTTTGATCTGATGCACTCGTTACCAGGTCACTGATGCTGACGTCCTTCAGCCAAACAGTGGTATATTGACCGCCTGTCTCTTTGAATTTGAGGGGAACTTTGCCAGACTCAAGCGCCGTCAGTTTGACCGACTGCATGGTGTACGATTTTCCATAATCCACGGCAGCTGCGCTTGTGCTGCCGAGTGATACTTGCACCTGGCCATTCCCCTGGGTGCACAAGCGTGTCAAACGGCCACTGCCCCTTCTTCGGCCAAAGTCCACGTTGCTGCACGATGAAGGGGGCGTATCTGGGCATTTGCCCAGCTCTGAAGATTTGCACAGGCAAGCTACCGCCGCGTGGCTTGATGGGCAACTGTTTGAGGCCGATCCTCCATCTGAGTACTGCACTAGCAGGTTTTTGTGAGCCGCAGTGCATCGAGCCTGGGCTTTGGTTCGCGCAGACAGACAGGAAGCTTTCACTGTGCACGTGCCTGTTCCAACGCAATAAATCCTGCATCCGCCATCATTACACTCCAGGATACGAATGTAATCCTGCTGGTTGGACATGTCAACACCAGCAACTCCAACAACATTGTAGCCCGACGGGCACGTAGAATAAGGTGACCAAGAATATGGACTGCCGGATGTCGCCGTTCCGTGAGTGATGTGAGCGTCGCGCACGCAAGCCGCCTTGATCGTCAGACCCGTTGAAGCGGCTCTTGCTTTGCATCTGTTTTGTTCGCCTTGCAAGCCGACTGTGCCAGTCTCAAACGGAATCCTCCCACAACTACGCTCGAGTTGAAAGCATCGTTTCATGGTTTCATGGTCTTGTTCCACTGGTGCAACAAAAACATTAAACATTGTTCTCGGCCCGCCAATGACACATGTACTCCTTTTTGCGACTCCCGGAAGAACACACACACACTCACACACACACACACGCACACACACGCACACGCACTTGACTCGAAGAGCTATGGCCGTGTTTGTACGAGTGGCAAACAACATTCCGGAGAGAAGTGGCATAGGCATCCGCCACGCTTCCCTGCAACTCCATGTACTGTAGTCCTGTTGCTTTCATGTCAGAAGGGCATGTGGACCAACCAGTATACTGCCCGCCGCCGCTGGATGATGCAGTACTTCCAGCTCCCACAACAGAGGATGAGGCCTTCAAGCAGTAGGGCCTCACTTTGCATCTGTCATTGGCACAGCGAACCTTGCAACCGTTGGAACTGCATGTGAAGGCCTTGATCACAGTTTTCACAGTACGGCAACGAAAGGAGACGCTGCGCCGGCGGTGTTGCTCCCGCCAGCCTGAAATCAAGCCTCGACTCCCACAGGTAAAATCGAAATCATCCGTGTCGGTGTTGCCCTTGCAGTTGAATGTAGCGCTGCCTGGACCTTGGACGAACAAGCACTGCCTAATTGTGAATATCAAAAGCAAAAATATGCGGCACAAAAAAAAACAACATCAAATTTTGTTCCGCTTTGTTTTTTAAACTTACATACATCACTTTGTTCTTTACTTCACTCATTTCTTGAAACTCACTTGTCCTTATCGTCTCAACCGCCTGAACTGATTGCATGCAAATTGCGCATGCGCAAACATGGCCACACAATGCATTCATTGGCGGCAGGTCACAAAGTGGCAAGAGAGCGCCAAACACTGCAGTCAAGACGTATTCCCCACAGCCCCCCCGACCCCAAAAGGAACAAGGAGAGAGCAAAGAACTGGCATGATTGATCAACCATTGGAACGGTCAATTGGTAATGGATACCATGATGCATCTTGCAACACCTGATGCAAATACAATAGGGCGCAGCCCGTGGGCAGGAGCTTCAACAATATAAGCACCATCGTTCTATTTATGTTTCTTCTCTTTCTCTTGTCCTGTCTTTCTTTTCTCTCTCTCTCTCTTTCTCTCTCTCTCTCTCTCTCTCTCTCTTTTTCGTTCCTTCTCCTGAGCTTTCTCTTCTCTTCGGTTTCATTCTGAATTGACTTCTTTCTATCTTGCCATCTGTCCGTCAGTCTACATATCTATCTCTCTAATCTATGTATCTGCGCTATGTGTTCAACAATATATCTATCTGTGGATCAATCCATCCATCCATCCATCCATCCATCCATCCATCCATCCATCCATCCATCCATCCATCCATCCAGCTACCTGTCGATGCTTCATCTATCTATCTATCTATCTATCTATCCATCTATCTAGTCTATCTATCTATCTATCTATCTATCTATCTATCTATCTATCTATCTATCTATCTATCTATCTATCTATCTATATATCTATCTATCTATCTATCTATCTATCTATCTTTCTATCTATCTATCTATCTATCTATCTATCTATCTATCTATCTATCTATCTATCTATCTAGTCTATCTACCTACCTGCCGAACTGTCGAGCAGTTATTATCTGTTAACCCTGCGAGAGTACCGCGAAACCTGACTTGACCGCGCGAAACCACCTGCCACGAAATCTGTGGCTGACCTTGCGAAAGCTCTGCGCCTGGCACGAAATCTGTGCCTGGCCAGCCAAGGCATACTGGCGGAGGCAGGCAACGCGAAGCGTTTGCAGTAAATAGCTCTGTGTAAACTTCTTTGGTTCGGTGTGTTTAGTTTCACGTGCGCGTTGCCTAGCATTCAAGGTTCCCTGTTCTGAAAAGAAAAGAATACTTGGCCGATCCAACACAACTTGTCCGTCAACCCTGTTCAACCACACTTTGGTTCCAGCTGCAAGGCCCACCATTTGCCAAGCGGTATAATTAGTCCAGCCTCCCGTCACACTCAAGTAACTAAGTTCGCCCACAATTGACTGACGAGACCAATGCCAAACCAACTCTATCCTGTTTTGCACAGAAGTCAAATCAATACTAACCAACAACCCCCGTTCGACTCTGCAAGCGGTATCAGCACTTTCCTCAATTGAGGGCCCGCAAATTGTGGCCGGTATGATGGCTAATCACTAACCCCTATTCTTCAGCGCAAGTTGCTGTTCTCGAAGCAAACCTTGTCTGCGTTTTTCTGGTGCTCTCCGTTCACCCTTCTCACGCCAGCGAGGTTATCGAAGTTGGTCGACCTTCTTCGGCCTCTGTCATCTCTCCGTCGACTATCCCGGCGGCGATTGAAAAAGCAATCGCCGTTCTTGGCACTTCCATCTGTGATCTTCACTGTGCTGCCATCTGAGCAACGAATGGAATACATCTCATCCCACCTTGGCGACAACTGCTTGCGGGGCGCGCTGGCTAGGACCATTCAAACCAAGCGGCTTCCCTTCTGCGCACACATCAATCTTGGTGACGTAGGTGCCCGTTGGGCAGCTTCTCGTTTGCCCGTTGTCGCTGCCATCGCTTCCAATCCTGTTCAGAGTCCAGTCATCTTGACTGCTCTGCTGCTCATTCTCGCCCCAGATCCGGGCAGGCATGACAGCCACATAGCCACTGGGGCATGTGGCCTCACTGGACCAAGTGTCTTGGTTGCCGTTGCTGAACTGCTCGTTGCCGACCTTCGTGTCCTTGACACAACATCATCAAACAACGTGGAAAACAAACGCAAGTTTGCGAGGCACGAAGAAGCAGCGGCCCGTCAACACACGCTGCAAAACGCTCACAAACTCTCCCCTTTCTCCCTTTTTCCTCTGCCTTTTTTCGCTTGTCCCCAGATTGACACACACCCACACGCTTGCATGAGTCCGTGTAAATGCCGAGGCATCCTCAATCGAACTCACGAAAAGCCAAACGAGACGTGCAACAAAAGAGCGGTCCCTCAGTCATCTGGAGCTACTCGTCAGAGCCACCGACTACGCAAGAGTTGGCCCTGGCTTACTCACCCAAAGGAAACGCAGCGAAGTAACTTAGAAACCAAGGTTGCACGCGCACACAGACAGACAAACATATACACACACACAGAGACACACCACAGACAAACAAACAAACAAGCAAACAAACAAACAAAGAAACAAAGAAACAGACAAAGACACAGACGCAGAAGCAACCACTGACACAGACACAGACATACACACACAAACACAGACACACGGAGACACAGAGACACCACAGAGACAAGAAAGAACAACAGAGGCACAACAGAGGCACACAACGGAGACACACACACACACTAGACCCACACAACAGAAAACAACACAAGACACAACACAGACACCACAAGGATGCAGAGACACGACAGACACAGAGACCAGAGACACACAGAGACACAACAGAGAAATAGGGACACAGAACCACCCACAAAACAGACACACACACAGACGCACACACAGACAGACACTCAAAAAGACACGCACACAAACACAGACACACAAACACACACACACACACACTAGACACAGACAGACACACACGCAAACACACACACACAAACACACACACAGACACACAGACACACAAACACACAAACACACAAACAATCACACACACACAAACACACGCAAACACATACAAACACACACGAACACCCACAACCACCCACACAAACACACAAACACACACACACAAACACACACACACACACACACACACACACACACACACACACACACACACACACACACACACACACACACACACACACACACACACACACACACACACACACACACACACACACACACGCAAACAAACACACGCAAACAAACACACGCAAACAAACACACACAAACAAACACACACACACACAAACAAACACACACACACACAGACACACACCTGCACACACAAGAAACACACACAGACACAGAGACACGCGCAAACACACACACAGACACAAACCGGCGGGCACACAGACACACACACGCGCAGAGACACATACACACAGGCACACACACAGACACAGACACACGCAGACACACGCACACACACACAGACACACGCACACACACACACACAAGCACGCACGCTCTGTGCAGGTGGCAGGCATCATCCAAGCAGCAACGTTTTGCGGCCTGATGAGGACAGGTACTGCTTTCAGAATATTAATCTTTTCCCCTGAAAGGCAAAGAGGCTCAAATGAATCACCCGCCTCCTCACTCAAATGGCTGTGCGGATCAACACGGGCAAGTTAAGTCCTGACTGGCCCGGGTTCCAAGTACGTGCAATTTCCGTCGTCAGATGGGCCGAAGAGCCCGTCATAGTTGGGGTCTGGTGGCAGCAACATGCCGTGTAAGAGGCTTGCATCCGGACTCCCTGTCTGGGGCCGGACTCCCTGTCTGCGCTTGCTTCAGACCAGTGACGCGGGAGCCGCCTGGGAAGCGAGCGCGAACGGAAGGCTGCGATGGTCAGCCGGAAGTGGTTGCTGTTGGCCGCCGGGGATTACATGTTGCCAGTCTTCACACTGACGAAAGCCCTACTGCGAGGCGACGCTTGGCAATTGGCCCAGGATTTAATCTCCTGCCGCTGCCGCGGTGTCAACACGTCCTGCCTCCTTGTCAGGTTCAATATGCGTCAGGAAGCGCCGAGACTACAAGACTCTTGACACGGATTACAACTTGCCCGGGTCGCGCCCGCTGACAAGCCCAAACGCCGCAGACGTAAGGTTACACTCATCCAGTGTTGCTCTCCCCTTGTTGGAAACTTGACGAGCATACGTCGCCGCTTCGTTGGTGGTCCATGAGGAATCTTCATGGAGCGCTACATCAAGAAGAAGTAATGTCTACCTCTGATTAATAACCCCCCCTCCCCCGAAACAACTTCCCTCCCCAAAGAGTTCTCCAAACTTGATTATGAATTGCTAAGTGTTGCACACAAATTGTTGTGTTTCAATTGATTTAGTGTTGCTGGAGCTTCCTTTTGAGATTGGATTCGGGTTTCCAATTGGTATTTCGTATTGCTGGAGCCTCCTTTTGAGATTTGTCTTGTTGGGATGCCAATGCTGGTGATACCTTTTTTTTGGGGGGGGAACCAGGAATCTTTATATAGGGGGCCCCCTAAATAATGTTTCTTCAGCCCCCAAGTACCCCCCTTGCAGGATTGATTCGGGGCCACTTTTCAAACAAGAGTATGTAAAGAATTTGCAGTTTGGGAGCTAGTATTTTTTGTAGACCTGAAATTTTTAAGGCAGGCGAGGCAGATACTGATCAATCAGACAAGCTATTGGAAGAGGTTGAGATGATGCTAGCGGGTGTGTGTGTGTGTGTGTGTGTGTGTGTTTGTGTTGTTTGGCGTGTTTTTTGTGAGTGTGTGTGGATTCCCCGCAAAAAAAAGTATAACTCTATTTCGGGGGGGGTTATTCATCAGTGCCGGCCCACAACATAACTTTAATCGGAGAGGCTTGTTAATCATGGGTCGACATTACCATCCAAGTCATCTTGGGCTCACGCTCTGCTCAGGTAGCACGACTGGCAGACACACTACAGAAGATTGAAGCCAGAACGAATTTGGAGAAGGTTCGTGGTGAGGAGACTGCGGCTGCCTGGAGGAAGTCGATGCGCAGCGCCCGTCATTGTCAGATCCGACCGAGCTGCCAGACACGCTTGCAAAAAGAGCGACAAACCATCAGTATCTTTCTCATATTTCCCAATGGTCTTGGCCTCTTCACGCTTCTCGGAGTATGCCTTCACGAGATGCGCTGCCTGCAACTCTGAATTATTCTTCCCTTCTTTCTTGTTCTCTGATACGTACCTTGGCTGCCTCCATTTCTTGCATACGGTTGTTTTCCATATGTGAGCTACTTGGTCTGTAGCAAGATTGCGACTCAAGCTCCTCGATTCTCAGCTTGCTGCCAGAGTCTTCGCGCTTAAACTCTTCGAGCCCTTTCGTAAGGCGGTTAGGGAATCAACTGCTGGTAGGCGACAATGACAACCCGCCTATCAGGCGCGAAGGATCAGGTGACTTGTGTGTTGAACCAGCGTGTGAACATAGCAACAGTAGCGACTGGCTTGGGAACAAAGACGGCAACCACGGGGTCACCCTCACCTCAGAACATGACCGTTCATAGAGCATGTAGCCCGGGGATTTACGATGCACAGACACACACACAGACACACACAGACACACACAGACACACACAGACACACACACACAGACACACACACACACACAGACAAAAACAGACACACACACACAGACACACAGACACAGACACACACAGACACACACAGACACACACACACACACACAGACACACACACAGACACACACACACACAGACACACGCAGACACAGAGACACAGAGACACAGAGACACAGAGACACACACACACACACCGGCCCACGCACGCACGCAAACGCACACGCACACGCACACGCGCACGCACAGGCACAACACGAACACGCACACGCGCACGCGCACGCACACGCACACGCACACGCACACGCACGCGCACGCGCACACGCGCACACACACACACACACACGCACGCACGCACGCACGCACGCACGCACGCACGCACGCACGCACGCACGCACGCACGCACGCACACACGCACGCACACGCACACGCACACAAACATGCACACGCACACGCACACGCACGCGCACACGCGCACGCACACACACACACACAGTGAGCATGCCTGGCAAGGTTGATCAGGGACTCTGCCTGCACATGCGCACACATGCACGCATGCACGCGCACGAACCCACGCACCCACGCACCAACGCACCCATGTCTCACACACAATCACACCCACACACACACACACAGTCACACACACACACACATGCGCACACACACACACTCACGCACAATTACACCCACACACACACACAGTCACACACACACACGCGCACACACACACACATACATACGCAGCTGGAAACAGAATGCCTCCAAGCTTCAGCGCCAATGGTGCTCGGACCCCAAGCTTGGCATTTGCCTTCTGGAGTGGCTTCCGCACCAAGAAGTTTGCCTGTTGCGCCAAAGCTGGGCACCTCAGCTCAGAAAGGCAACGGCGTCTGTAGTTCCAGCACGCCTGCACGTGCGCCTATGTCCTATGTGATGCTACGGGGAAGGGCAACAGTCGTTGCGATGCAACGCGTCATGTGGAACGCCATCAATGTCATGTTGAATGCCGTAGATGACCTGGGTGTGTAATAAGCGTAACCCAAAAACATGATCAAGGGGCCTCAGGAGTGGAGAAGGCTGGACCGGCAAAGGTAAACGCGCGCACATGCACTGAGGGCGCAAGTTTGTGTGCGTCGCTGTCCAAGCCCCGGGCTTGAGCTAGTGGCCGCATGGAAGGCGCAACATGAGAGGACAGAGTGGCTTTGAAGCACAAGGCAACGAGAGAAACCATTCGGAATACTTCAAGCCAATGCTTCCGCCGTCAAGTATTGGAGCTCGAGGAATCTTGCGCGATTGACAGTGAATACGTTGACAATCTTTATTTCTGGTTCTTGTGGAGCGGGAACACATGAGGGCTCACATGACGCACGAGCGTGTCTGCTGCGAATGCAAGCCTGCGCTGTCTTCGCATGATGACGCAGGGATTGCGGCAATGTTGGTTGAGTTACTCTGGCAGCAAAGGCTGATTTGACGATGAGGCATTTGGTTTTGGTCTAGTACTCTCCGGAGTCGAGTCCTCCTGATTTCCTTACGCTTTTATATTTGCTGGAGCTTTTTTCTTGATCAGCTCTATGTGCAGGTTACGCTTGCGTTGGCTGCTGCGTTGGCACGATGCCAATCGGAACCGTCCGGACAGGAAGCGTTCAAACGTTACCCCCTTACCCAGCCAACTCACTCAATCTGACCAGGATGGCTGAAGCTGACCTGCTGTCAGGCCTACCAAAGGCAAAGGCTCCTCTGAATCAGGGCGACGGTTGCCGCGGTGCAAGCTGGTTCGCTTGATCACGGGGTGAGCGATCAAATCATCCAGCTGGCGTTTTCTTCTTTCTTAAGAGACTTCCGCGCGGGGTCCACGTACCGCTTCGTCGGGCAGTATCCAAGCGTTTTGGGAAGGCCCACACTCAGTTCGAATCTTGTCGTGGACGCCATTGATATCCTTTTGAACGTCTTGTGAGCGAAGCGCTGCGCGAAACCCGAATCACGCGCGATGATGCTAAAAGACGCTTTTTTCAGTTCTCCTGACTGCCGAGCCGTGGCGTGACTGGACCTTGTGGCTCACGAGCATAGCCGTGCGCCTTGATCCTGTCAGCGTGTGCCTCTAAATTTTGACGGTGTCAGTTCTTGATGGGCGAATTGACAACTGCGCTGCCAGTCAAAGTTCCGGACATTGGTCTTGCGCCTCTTGTCTCTAATTGGTCGCTTGTTGTGGCAATGGCCCCTTTGAAGCGCTCTACAATCTGACGCTTAGAAGTTATTTCTATCGGTTTTGATAGGACAAGCGTTACTCGTGTCTTGCTTTTCTCGGCGCATGGTGAACCTGCAAACAAAGCATATACAATTGAAGCCTAAACATGTTAACAACAAAAAATATTCACCCTGAGCATTGCAGTGCAGGTGTTTGAGGGTTGGGAGCCACCAACTCAATTCTTCTCGAAATGAAACAGCAACACGATTATTTCGAGATGCAAGCATGCGTTTCATGCAGGGACGTCTATGCTATATTCTATATCGCGATGCCGTCTCTGAATCACGACATAATATCCGCAACAGTTCTTCATCCTGATAACCATTCAAAGCACTTTGCAGCAAAGCTACTGTTTAAGGATGTTTCTGCAACGTCAAGCTGTGTTCATCATTGACCTCCTAGCAATGCTGGCAGGAAAAATACGGTTCTGATTCCAGCTTCCTAGCAGGCAAGCTCCGGCAGTGTTGCTGGCCAATGCCTCGTTCTCCACATTGTAGAAACAGCATCCCTACACAACTTATTCACAGCGGTAGCGCGCGAATTCCGAATGTCATTGCTAAGTGACTCTTTGCCTAGCAGTGTTGCCGAGCAGCAAAACTGTTCAAGTGGCAAGCGCGCCAATGTAGCTGTTACATGTGCTAGTTATTGGGCGCCTCGCACTGAGTTGCATCTTCGTAGCTATGGCATACAAGTTTATGGGCATCCCAGGCAAACACTTGCCCGCACACAGCCAAGGAACCGCTTCACAGCCGAAGAGAGTTTGGCCCGAAGGGCAAGACACTTCCGCTGGACAGCTGGAGCCATAGCATGTGCTGCTGCTCAGATACCTTGGTGCGCGGCCAATCGCGTCTTGGGCTGTTGGGGATTGGGTGACCGGCAACTATCTTGGTCTTGGCTCGACTTCTTGGTGCTCGGAAAAGCATCCAAGCTCTCTGTTTTTTCTCTGACCTTGAGGGGGACCAGATTCAAATCACTTGGGGGTGGTTAGACCTGCTCCCGTTCATGGTTCTTCAGATGCCGAGAAGCGGAGTGACACCTGTGGACCACCATCCACCACCCCGTATGTTGAAAGAAATCTGGTACTCGATGCCCTTTACAATATTCTGGAGTTCTTCCGTGGGTTGATGGGAGCTAGTGCCCCAGAGTTTCGTCTCGGCGGTCAGTGCAGACACTGCTGTCCTCTGGTCAAAGCGGCAGCTAGACTGGTCGCCCTTCCAGCCAAAATAGCGTTTGTTGCTGCTGCTTCCCCAGTACATGGACAGAAAGGCTTCGCCGGAGTCAACATTCCTCCGGCGTCGGTCGGACACGTCCGTTGCGTCCGAAAACGTGATGGTAACCTCGGAATCTCCGGAATCTGCAGTGGCCAAGCAAAGGTCGTCCCAAGATCGGATTTCTACTGGGTGCCGGTTGAGCCACCAGCGCTCCTGCTGAGATGCGGCCATATAGTCTCGCAAGCTCTCAGTGCGGCTCCCGGGCGTAGCACGAGAACAAGCCACACACTGTAAAGCCATGAGCCCAGGACCACCATGAGGATCGACCCACTCTCCATCTTGACAAACAATGTGCTGAGACGGTTTCAGCTCGTTGCCCAATCGATTCAAGCCACTGTAACCTGCCGCACAGCTCACAGTAAGTGCTGCGCCAGCGCTGAAACTGCTGGGCAACGGGCGTTTGAGCTTGGAAGTGATGACTGATGTTTGAGAAGTAAGCATGTGCGTGCAAGTGCCACATTCTGCAACACCATGGCCTCCATGGATCAGCGATGAATCGCACTGCGCAAACAGCTCTTCAAACAAACAGCTGCCCGCCGGATCTGGGCCATTTGCCAGCCACTTTTCCCGCTTGATCGGTTGGCACGCCTCAGCATCCGCAACAAGGCATGCCTCCTGCTTCGCAACCCCAAAGAGTTCCCCGTTGCTGTTGACCTCACGCACCAAGCTGTCACAGGCTTTGTACAACCGACACAATGTCATGTCTGTGTATGTGCCACTGAAATAGAAGCCGCAAGTCGTGCCGTCCGTGTCATGCTCGCCACTCTTGCACGCTGTCTCACATCCCTCCAGTCCAACATTGACCAGAGACTTGATCAGATTGTGGGGTTCGCAAGTGAAGCTGCCAGAAACAATGAGCATGCTTGGTGGGATGTACTGATTGTCACTCCCTGGGGGCATCTTGCCATAGGTCTCCTCGCTGACAGGACTGTTTGCACCAAATGCACCAGCAAAGCATTCACATGCTGATATGGTGTAGAAAGGTGTCGCATGTGCTGGTGCATCCGGGTCGTTAAACACAAATGCCCCACTTGCATCATCCTTTGAATTTGACTTAGACTTTTTGCGGTCTTCCAAAGGGCTGCTGCACTCTTGGGCAACCGGTGCAAGAACCACTTCATCCAGCAGATCAGCGATCTCCACCACATCATCAGAAGCGGACCAAATCTGAGCATAGACACTATCAAACAGAGCTGGGCCAGAGTAGACCTGCTGCTCTGCAACATTGATAATATAGAAGCCATCGTCATAATGAATCTCAATTGATATGCTATTGGTTGCTGGAAGGATCAAAGCATTGGATGTGTGACCGCTCGTAGCAACTACAAGATCACCGTTTTGAACAAGGATCCCAGCATAGTTCTGATCAGCGGTCGTAGTTGTAGTGGTTGTGGTAGTTGTTGTGGTGGTAGTTGTGGTTCTTCGACGTCTGGATCTTCGCCGTCTGGATCTGCGGCGTCGGGCGTCTGTTGTCGTCGGAGCCTCGGTGGTGGTGGTTGTGGTTGTCGTCTCAGCCGTGGTGGTCGGGGCCGCGGTGGTTGGGGCCGCGGTAGTCCTCCTCCGACTCCTCCTCCTCCTCCCCCAGGAAGTCTTCTTTGCATCTTGTTCTTGGGATTTAGTTCGCTGTTCGTAAGCTAGCAAGCTCGATTGCAGCTGTGATGGCTTGTTGCCGGGCGAGGTTGTGAGGGCAAACATGTGCTTCGATGCAGAAGAAAGTGTGAATGTCACACTGAGGTGCTTGGCATGCTGCTTTGTCTGCGCGGAAAGCCAGCCACTTTGCCCTTGCGATCGCTGAAGCTTCCTTCCGTCGCGCAGGAAACCACCTGTCTCCCAATCCTTGCTGCCAACTTGCTGAAGGTATCCCGGGTCCACAATGGTCGTGGGCACAACGGAAGCCAGCTCGTCCAAAATCTCATCTCCAATGCCGTAAGAGCTTGAGGAGGCAGGATTGGCCATGCAAAGCAAAACCTCTCCCCTGAGCTCGACATAGTCGCTTTCGATGAAGTCCAAGGGACTGCTCCTTCGAATCACCCATGCAGAGTGATCTGGGCAAGGTGAAGTGCTCTCGCGAGACGACTGCCAGGGAGCCAAGTAGAGAGTTGATGATGGCACCTCGCCTGACTTCGCATAAAACGGCAACAGGCCATCGCTCTCTCCGCCCTCTGGAGGGCAGTACTCGCCCTCAAGAAACGCCGCCCCGCCCCCAAGCTTCTCCACCGAAAAACAGCCGCTCTGCGCATCACAGCTGTTGATGCGAACGAAGGCACTGGAGAAGTCGGGAGCAGCACAACCCCGACAATCAATGGATGTGGCCTCCATGGGGGTGGAGCACTGGCCATTGAGGCAAAACTCTTTGCAAATGCCTATGCCGCAAGTCAAGCAGGCTTCAGGGCAAGATGCCTCTGACACGCGTCGCAAGGAGTAACAATCACCACTCTCCTGATAAGCCGAACATCCAGAATCAGCACGACAGCGAGAGCGGCAAGTTCCATGACCTGTCAGAGTATTCAGGATCTTCCACTTCTTGGACTCTGTCCGTTGCCAGCAAGTATCATCCCGGATGTTCACTTCAAAGCTGTGCTTGATGAATTTGGGAGTGGAGCCCAGTGGCTGGAAAGCAAGCTCCCCAAAGACTGTGCATGAGAGACGCACTTTGCAGCGCGCGGTGTTTGCGCAATTCTTGAGCACCGCCATGTCTGGAATGCCTGTCAACTCCCCAGTCAGCATGCCGAGACGAAATGCAACATGGCCCTGAACGACCACATCTCCAGTGGTGAGATCAAAAGTCACTGACTGCCCTCCAGTCGCATCGCAAGCAGCATAGAATGCGATTGGGGGCACTTTGTGATCGGAGCCATCTGACAGGATGAGCGGGGGCAGAGACCGGCCAGCTACTAGGTTCAAGACAGAACCCACAGGCTTCTTCTTGCCTCCCAAGATTTGGTGAACACCCATTGAAGTCCAATGGTCTGGGTAGGTCACTGAGAGCGTCAAAGCCTGGTCCGCAGTGCCGTTGTGGGCTGTCACAGTGCACAAAGCTGCTTCAGGAACAGGAGCTGAACTGCTTGACCGCAAGGTCCCATCTGTCAAGATCTCCAGCCAGGGAGCATCGGGCGTGCAAGCTACTCGCCAGTTGCTGTAACTGACACCTTGCTTTGTCCTGGGGGCATAGCCATCGGATGGAAAGGACAATATTTTCGCATTGTAGGCAAAGTATTGGAGATCAAGACTCACAGTGGCATTGGCAATGAGGCCCTCAGACTCCTCTTGCAACGCCTCAATGGAACACTCGATTGCTGTTGGCTCCTCTGCAATGGGCGTGCCCTGAATCTGGCCGTTGACTGCATCCAAGCTCAACCCATAGCTGTGCAAATCACAACCAGATCCTTCCAGGACACCTGCAACCCGGTAGCTGGAAGCCGTTCGGGGGTGTGGAAGATCAGTCATGGGCTCTCCCAGCACAAAGGAGCGGCTGATTGATGAATATCGGAAAGGAGTGCTGGCGCGCATGCCGCCACCACATGCACAACAGGCATCTTTTGCACCTTAGCAGTCTCATCGACAAAGCGCGACTCTGCTTATTACACAGCTCGATGCAGTTGCTCGGAACAGCATGCCCAGCCCACAAAATGCGAAAACATCCCAACACTGTCACGGTAATGCTAAACAAGGAGCTAACGCCAGCAAAGCGGTAGTCCTCCAACTGCATGTGCTGAACGAAATTGGCCTGAAATTTCGAGGTCGAAATGACTCCGTTTTCGCACGCCTTGGTGGCAACATAGTGCTCACATGCGTGGCCGGCAGGGTCAAGGAATCCAGGAAGATCCCGGCAAGCTCTGCAAGTCTCTGGGCCCTTGTGGAAGCCACCTGCGCAGGCAGAGCACTTGCCACCGCTGATCGTGGCACAACCGCTGCACTTGATGCCATTGCAGCAAGTCACCGCGGCTGAACCCTGACTGGAGAATGCCACCAATGTCGTTTCCTGCACGCTGCACTCGGCCCCTGAGTACAGCAAACTCACGGAAGAGTTCTGCTGGCCGCGGGCTGCTTGCGATTTCTCCGGCATCTTCCTGCAGGTTTCGATGCAATTTGGAACAAGTAAGCACAAGTGACACTTCTGGCACAAACTTCGTAACCCGTCCTGGCTTTGCATTGCTCGAACAAAGGACCTTTGGAAAGCTTCTGACCCAAATCGGGCAGCTCTGGCAGGTCCAGGTTCGGAGAGGCAGCCTCTAATGCCATGACTTTCTTCTTTTGTAGCATGGCCGGCGCGACCGCAGAGCATTCCTCTTCGATAGCACCGCCATAAACCAGCAAGGAAAGGCTGGCGAGATATGCAAATAACATACTGCTACTCGCAGTCTGTCAACGGTAGGTGAGAAGGCCAGAACACAGCTCGAGCCAAGCTAAATTGCAAGTGAACTTCCCTTGCCTCACTCGCATGAAGATGTTTCCGACAGCAATGACCATTCAGCTGGACAATCAAACGATACCGATTCATGCAGCAATTTCAATTCCAATGCAATGCAACCACGGACAGCCAGTGCTCATGTCCGAAAGCATCGAGACATGTTTTGGTCAACGGTGTGCGGCATGCTGGGAGTCCGAAGAAATGTACAAACCATTGATCAAAGGGACCCACGTGCTTCGTTCAAAAGCCATGAACATAATGTCCTTTCATGAGTCTGCTTTTGCCGCCTCTATTTTGCACAAGCACACACCTATCGCGCCAACATGCTACTAGTTGTGGTAGTACTTGCCGCCGCCCTTCCTTGATTCAACATGGCAACAATCTCTGTATCTTTGACACTCAAACCCTGGACAAAGTCGTAATCGTGGCAAGTGAGGCGCAGCTGAATTGCAAACAGTGCTTCTACACAGACACGACATGCCCTTTGCCTATCATTACCCGGTTGACTACCCGTGTCAAGTCACACATCACTGCCGACGTGATTTCCCAGTCCTTGGCTTGCATGAAACTGACACTCCGAGTATGGGGACGTCCCGATCGAACTCAGGAGACGACATGACTTGGTAGAAGATGCGAGTGATGGGAACGAACCAAACGCAGCTGAGAACGAGCAGCCCCAGGACCGATAATCTGCAGAAGTGTTGCACATTCCCAACTCAGCACCCCGTGAATGATGCTTACTCGCGCACCCATTCACGGCCACGAAGTAAAGAGGCACATGCTCCGGCCTCAGAGAAGCACATTGCTGTCCACTTCATTTGTTCTTGGCAGTACCCCGAACATGTAAAATGTGGCTCCGAGGCATTTATCATCAGCTAAGAAAACATATAATCCATTCTATTTCGAATCACATGTTGCTCGTGTTGCATTCATTGCCTTGCCATTGGCCCATGACTGCTTCTGATCGAGGCTCCCTATTCTTGGTCTTGCGGCAGCTCTTCGCAAGGCCCAAAGGATGAAAGGCATTGAGACTTGGGCAGCCCGTGGCTGATGTCCCGGTAGAAGAGCGAAAGCAGCACCACCAACCAGCAAATCCGAGCGGCCTCGCCCGATCTCTTTGAGTTGGATTCTCTCTTTCATAGGAGGCGCACTGCCCAGAAAAGCCAGAAGCAGGCCACACAGAATTTGTAGAAGGGCCTGTGACCGCCAGGAATCTTGACAATGACCGACTACATCCTTGCAAATGTGAATAGGTTTTCTGAGCTCGTGACTCCTGGGTCCAGCCGGTCTCCTTGCCACAGCAAGTGCTCTGGATTTCATCGTTGGCAGAAGCACCTGCCTTCATCATGCGTGTTGCAACTAAACCTGAGCGCAACAACTTTGGAAGTCATACGTTTCGAGGCAAGGACCGTGCATGGTGTGGTTGCTTCAGTCAGTAGCACCTGGACTGTGTGCAAACGGCAACGGGAGCGCGAGACTCTTTGAGGGCAAGACTGCGCAGCCCCAGAAAGTTCCTGTTCTCAGGACCTTGGATCTTACTGTGAGTCAGGCACCGCACCAGCTCAAACAAGTTGTGCCGAGCCTAGAGCGAATGCATTTGACTCAGCTCCCGGCCAGCCAGTTCAAGCAAATGACCAACGCCTTGCCAGAAGGACAGAGGCTTGCAGAAGGGCTGACTACTTGGGCTCGTGCCATCAAGTGGTGCACCCTGCCAATGAGATGCGAAAACTGTTGTTGCTCATCTCTCTGCTTCTCTCCTTCTCTCCTTCCCGTATGTCGTGGTTGCTAGCTGCAACAAGCAAACTATGACAACTCTCCCTCGCATTCCTTCCCGTGACTGGCAAAAGAAAGCACTCCGAAGGCTTCGGGCGCCGGCCAAAAGGCGAGCCCTTTGCCATAGGCAGCATACAGCAACAGCCTTGGCTGCCGAATACGCATAGGACAAATGAGACTCGAGGCTGCGGACTCGTACACCATGAAGCTGGCAAGAATCATCCCAGCCCATTCACCTCACTGGTGAGCAACCAAAAGGAGAAAAACAACTGCAACTGCAAACGTTGGCCTGCCGAGGTTGGCCTGAGATGCAGATTCCAACACTTCAGCTTATTTGCAAACAACACATTGCGCTTCGATGCGCGGCGTCTGAACCAAGATTTGGCCAAAGGCTGCAGCCCATCTATGCTCGACCATCGCGACTCCCGGTCCTGGGATACAAAAAACCTGCGATGTGACGGTCAAGCTGACGAGGACAGGACATGAAATGAATCCAAGCTGTGATACCTGCCCAGAGGCCAAGCCAATGCTTTCCGCACACAGAAGGGCACAGGAACGCGCAACTGAGGATCACCATGGCCGATGGAACTACAAAGAGCATGTAGCGGTTGGCCTCCTGGCACAGCTGTCGCTGGCCGATGTGGGATTCCATCTCATGTCACCACATTGACAACATTCATTCAAGTACCTGCAAACAAAATTCCTGCTTTTGCGCCGCAAGAGTAAAAGTATTCCGGCGAAGCAAAACCAAGTGCCGCTACCGCATCCGGAGCCTGCTGTTGCTGCGGAACTTCCAATGCCCGAACCTCGTAGGTCACTTGGGTCTGTCTTTTCTTGAGGGTACCATGGGTACCCTCTTTGGATGGCCTCAAAGGAAAACCAAAAGAACAAGTACCGGATTGGCGTTTGGGTTCCCTATTTTGAGAACCCAATTCACACCTGATAAAATGAAGCCGGAGCAATCGCTGACATTCGGACCTGTGGGGAGCAACGACAGAGCAATCGTCGCCTAGGCATCGAACGGCATCGATGCCAAGAACAACCGGTTCGTCTTAGAGTGGCACACAGCTGCATGCTGCAACAGCAAAGCTCCAGTGACGCCTTGAACCAAAGCTGAGGCTGTGACCCCCATTCTGGTGTCTCAAAATTTGGGGCCCCAGGTGGTTGGTGGCATCAAACATCTTGAGAATATGTTCTACCACCCGTGTCCTTGCCTGTCAGCTCAACCAGCATTACCCGGTCAGGCAAGTCCCTTGTGATCTGCACATGGCTTCAGAGACATGTGCACGTCACACACACACAAAGCTTAGAGTGCCTACATTCCTCTGGTGGATTCTGCGCATGTTGAAGAAATACATCAAGTGAATCGTACATGTGCCTGAGTGTGCTTTCCATTTGGCATCTGGCGAGCATAGAGAGCTGTGTTGTATGCCTTAGATTGACATGCTCTCACACTTCGCGGTATCTTGAGCCTCATGGATATACTGGCATTCCTAGCAAATTCTTCTCACGCTGGAATGTGCCTCACTGCTGATGCCAAGCACATTCACTGGATGCGACGGCGGCATTTTCTTCGCTATGACATCGGGTCCATCTGCTTGGCAGGTTGGACGCTGCCCCGCCGTTTGGCAAGCAGCAAAGCTCAGCCTTGGCGTGCTCGCGGGGTGATTCCTGCACGAGTCCAGCATGAAGTGAGGAGCATCTAATTAGCTTCTTTGAGTGGAGAGGTGGACTGCGAAGTGCGGGGAGGAGCGCGAGTGGGGATGCCGGGCTCACGGTTGGATCTGAATTAACAAAAAGCATGGTTGTCATAGTCATAAACAAAGCAGGGCCCACACCAAGCCCGAGTCATGCTTCGCTTCCGAGGCATTGGGCTCGATTTCCACGTCCCGTACCAGCATTTGAATGCTTGATCGTCCCTTCCAGGATCGCAGCGTCAAGGATTATGCAGAACCGGTAAGTGAAGCATTACTTACCCTCATCAGAACATGTCTGCCAAATCAATGTCAATCGCGGAAGTTCGTTGCCCTAAACACCGTCTTGCATCACACGCATTGACATCGCAAACACTTCAAGCACATACTGAGAGCAAGTCAAAGCACCAGAGTCAAGCCGTCATGCCCCATGCCCTATCCTAAGATCCATCAAAGCTGAGTTTCAGTAGAGCCTTCCCTTCAGGATCCATAACAGCAGGCCTCTGGGAGTCATCAGACTGGTTCCAGTCTGCCCTCGGCTGCAAGAATGAATGATGATAGCTGTGAGTGAATGCTGACCTGCACCCTCAAGCACTGTGCACGGGCCCCCAAAAGTGGCTGGCAAGGGGCTCTCCTATCTCTATTTCCTTCATGTCTGCTGTTGGGCAATCCCTTTCCGGGCTTTGCAAAATATTGCATTCACTCACACGATTGATTGGTGGTACTGAAATCACAGCCTTAAGCTTCGCCGCAGCCAAACAATCCAAGGCTCTGCAAGACCAACCGCGTTGAGCAGCACGCTCAGCGGAATGAACTTTTGCTTTAACGTCCTGAGAATCCGCAAGGGCTTCCAGCTAGATGAAATGCAAGAACCATTCATATCGTACGGGTGTTTTCAAGGGCATACAACGTGCAACCTTGTTGCATAGGTTGGTAATGGGACATCCGGGCTTGACACCATCTTTGCTTCGTTCAAGTGCACTCCGTACAAGTGAATTCACAGCAATTGACCCAAAAGTCTGCTCTGCAAGCACATTGCCCTCAACACAAAGCACTGCCATCTTAATCACTCTCCCACAAGACAGACTTTGGGCTTGTGCAAGCCTCGCCTCGGCTAAAAACGTGGTCTTTCGGCAGGTCTCCTTGACACTTGCCACGAAAGACTTCATTTGCCTCGAACGTGCACTCCATAAAACGCATTGAGTTCCGACAACACATGTCATGTGTAAACCGAACATGCAAAACATTCACCCACCTTTTCGCTTCCTCATTCTGGTCTCGCAACTCGTCTCGTCTACTCTGCTTCTCCTCCCAACCCAAGCAGTACAAAACGAATCAAGAAGCACTCTTGCCTTCAGATCCTTTATCAAGTTCTCATACTTTGTCTTGCATGCCTGAACTAGAAGTGCTTTCAGGATACAATTCTAGAGCCAAGGCCTGCATCTGCTTCTCTTTTTCATCCAGCGCAAGCTGTGCTTGGTAGAGTGCTTGCATTGCGTCCTAAGCAGCAAGAGCTCTATGCGCATAGGGCCACAGTCTCAAGAAATGGTAGCCGACCTCGCGAGTCTTGGCCCTCCTGACAAGTTTCACAAAAGCTGACTGGTGCTCAGCATCCTAGTGCTCTGGAATGCGCGCGCCTCTCGCGCTCAGCAGTCACTTCACCGACCTGCCGCACCTCAGGTCAAGTCGCAGCATTCGGATACTTTAGACACACGTGTCGAGAGTCCCCGCATGCTTCAAATCAGGTGCCAAGTTTTCGGCAAAGCTTGTTTCTGCCTTTGCAGCTGGTTGCGCGCCGTCGTGGTTGCAGCACCCCAACTTTGCCTCTGGTGAAGGTTGCCTTCGCTCACCTGCTGCGTAGCAAGGGCGACCGCTTACAGTAACATTGTGTCTCGCTGCTTTTATAAACGGAGCCAGCAAATGCATCTAGCGCAAGATCTAACGCGTTTCCAATCGCGGCTCTCCTGATCGTGTGGCCAAAAGCGTATCTGACATGTGGTCCTTGCAAAAAGCTCACAAGCAGCCCGTTCCATTTTGAATGCCCGGCGTGGACCGCACTAAAGTTGAAGCAGATTGACCATTCCAGCCCCTTTAGAGAGCAGGTCGGCGTGGATAGGGCGAGGAACCGCACTTGACAAGGGCACGAATTAATCCATATCTTTCTCTCTCTCTCTCTCTGACGTGGGTTATGTTTTACCGAATGGACAAATGAGTTTATGGGGAGATAGAGAGTTAGACCGTAAGCTGGAAAGGGATCTGAGAGCTATCATTCTTTCCTGTTGACCATCATTCTTCCCGCGGCTTCGTCCGCTGGTCTAATTCTCTTTCTCCCGGCTTTCCCTGTCCAGCCGGTGGGAGTAGATGATAAGATCCTTTTCCTCTCTTCATCTCTTTCCTGTCGTTACCTCCCTCCTCTTCCTTTCCTCTTTTAAAACTAGAGGTGGCTGTGCATTAAACGTGTTCAAGATCCAAGAACAAATGTAGGTACCTTCCACTCAAACACTCAAATGTTTAAGGGTTTAAGGGTTTAAGGGTTTAAGGGTTTAAGGGTTTAAGGGTTTAAGGTTTTAAGGTTTTAAGGGTTTAAGGGTTTTAGGGTTTTAGGGTTTTAGGGTTTTAGGGTTTAGGGTTTAGGGTTTAGGGTTTAACGTAAATGACCGTAAATGTATTAATCAGTAAAGGGGATGGAAAATAATCACTTAGTGACTTGGACCAAGGCTTTAAACATGGCTGCGGTTTACACGGCACAATGCCCCCATGCTTAAAAACTGCACTGCTTCAGACCGGCACCGAAGCCACCGGAACAACAGGCTAATGCATGCATCTCTGCGGCGTTTTACCTCGTTCGATTTCTGTTTGGTTCTCTGAGCATATCTTCGCTGAGCATGAAACGCTGACACGCAAGGCAGGCTGAGTGGTGCACGATGTTGGCCAACTGGCTAGAGGCCTGGTACCCAGCTCTTGCCTCGCGAAGTCTTCAGATTGAGGGAGGCCATGGCTTGTAGCCAGGCGCCATGCCTTGAGGCCATCGGCCGTAGAGCTTCCATCCATGCTGAGAATTTGGATGCAAGGGCTATCTAACACAAAGCCATGTCATCTGGGATATGAAGGATGTATATTAAGTTATCCTACGGTTTAACAAGAGGAAGGAGCTGACATCACAGGTCTCTGACCATGCTGCACCATTTGTAGCTTTGCGCACTTGGCAAAAGAAGCTCCCATGTCTTCCAGGGTCCACAGCCACATCACAAGAAAGTGCACGCGAACTCAGATTCAAATGAACGTCTGAACTGCCAGCGCAATGTTAAGCTGATCAAGGTGAGCGCGTTCTGCAGCATTCCAACTCGCAGCAGCCTTTTCAACCATTGCTCTGAAATTGGGGCCAGCATATTGCAGATGCCATCCACAAGACCTTACAATCACTTCACAATGGAGACGCAGCTGGGCTCAACTCAAGCTGATAAGTGGAGACAATACTGGGACACCTGAAACTGCAAGGGGCAAACTGGTCAGCAGTACTTCGTATAGCTAGCTGCGAACAATTGACCCTGTGTATCAGCAACAGCTTTTCTAATCCCACGTTCGCGGTGGCATCAGCTTTCCAGCCGAGCAAAACTCGAACAAATTCGTGGAAACTCAACCCTTCCCAAGCCAAGAATCATTTGTCAATGTGCATGATGTGCAACTATACTGCACCTGAGGCCGGGCGTGAGGCCGACTTCACTTTAATAAAATGGCCAATCTTGCATCACAGAAATGCGAGCCAACAAACATACGTTCTGTAGCGTTGCAGGAATCCCGGAAGATTTCTCAAGTCTTCATGTTTAGGTGTTCAGCATATTTGGATAACGTCATGAGCCGTGAGTCCGGTGCCCAATCGTCGCCCTTGACCGCCGAATGCCTGGAAGCTCCTCGGTTTGCACGAAAATGCTCAGACATCCTTTGGGACAGACCACTCTAGCTGTCAGGCTTGGGAAATGACCAGCTCAAGTGTAAGCATGATAACAAAGGTGAACACATGTTGTTCATGTGTTGTACTGGAGTGTCTCTCGGTGTGTGTGTGTGTGACTGTGTGTATGCATGCGCGTGTTTACGTGGGAGTATTTACTGTTCTTTCTTTCGTTGTCTGTGGGTGCGCTGGAGTGTGTGTGCGTGTTTGTAGCGTTCAGGCTATGTCGTGTGCGCGCCCACACACTCCTTGTCGTGTGTGTGTGTGTGTCTGCTTGCGTGCTTGTAGTGTTCTGATGTGTCCAGTCTAGGTGTGTCAGAGTGTGTATGTGTGTGTGTGTGCGAGTTTGTGTGTGTGCGCACGTACAAGCGCGCAAGAACACTTAAGATATCTTAAGACCGTGAAAGAGTGCGTGCGCGGGCGTGTGTGTGTGTGTGTGTGTGAGCGAGCTTAATGTGTGCCTAGCGGGGCGCGGGTTTGTCTGTCTCTGTCTGTCTGTCTGTCTGTCTGTCTGTCTGTCCGGGTGTTTATGTGTGCGTGTGTGTGTGTGTGTGTTTGTATTTATGCTTGCGTGTTTGTGTTTGTACGTTTATATTTGTGTGGTTGTGCTTGTGTGTGTGATCTTTGTGCTTGTGTTTGTCTGGTTGTGTGCGCATGCGTGCATGCGGGTGGACGGGCGGGCGGGCGAGCGGGGCAAGCAAGCCGGCGTGCACATGGGAGTGCACATGGTGTGTCTGTGTGTGTCTGAGTCTGGGTCTGCCCTTGTAGCATGATAGGTCTGGGCGTTGCTGAATCAATCTGCCTGGTTGCTTTACTGGCCAAGTTGCGATCGCAGTGGCATCTGCTCCGACATGCTTGAACGCTCAGACCTCCTCTGAGGCTCGCCTCAAGCACAAAAATGCATGTGGCAACACACGGCCATGTTGCACGCACTTAGACTTTTCAACTCAAGGAACATACACGCGGCTTAGTGTCAAGGCAGGCCTGCGCTAGATCCGGAAAGATCCTGGTATATGTGCCTCCGGATTGCCAAGTTCCGTCGCTGTCATGTCTTCCACCATACTCACAATCTTGGAGCCGGACCATGCAAGCACTGCAGCGGGCAAGGACACTGCCGGGATGCTCAGCAACAGCAGCCACTGCATCTTCAAGCTGACAGGGCTTGGGCAACGGCACCAGCGCGTTCATGATGATATCAAAGCAGGTGTGTCATGGTCTTGCCGCTGCTACTGCTGTGAGCACGCCTGGTGCTCATCTGGGAGAAGGACATACTGCTGTGGACCTCTTCAGACACCCAATCCCCCGCCCTTCTCCTGCAGCGACTGAGATGCCGACCCAATAATCAATGAACTTCACCAAGTCAAACACTCCATTGATGCAACACATCATTCCCCAGTAGCCTGGGCCGTGGTCCATTTCGAGAATTCGCGTGCAAAGCAGAGTAAGCGGCACAGGAAAGTCACATTCAGCTCCTCCTGGCACTTCGTTTGCGCTCTGTCACAGCTGACCGAGCGCATTCGTTTTTTCTGCCGGGCAGATGAACCAATTCCCCACAGCTCGTAGACTTTCTCGGAACGGTCAATGCAAGAGCAAGGCTGTCAAGGCGTTTTTATTCCGTGAGCAATGGAAGCAAGGTGAAGAACGCTAGAACCAGTCTGAAATCCTGTATACCCCAAGCTCGGGTCAAAATAAACCAAACCCAAACAGCACAATGCAGCTCTAACAGTGACAGAACGTATGCTTAGCGGGAGCGTCTGGAGCCAACAATCGCAAGACCGTCTGTCCTTGTAAGCATACCACCCGATGGCAGTTGCCACAGCCTGAAACTCTGAAATGGGGATCGGCAAAGGGGACAGTGGTATCTTCCCAGTTTGTCATAGCAAGCTTGGTCCCAGACCATGATAAAACCTCCCAGGATGTCCAGGAGTAAGACCTGTCACAATAGGCAAAAGGGCATGTGACTCAAGTTTCAATCTGCATGTCATGCTTAAGCCCTCAGCCCATCGTAGTAGAACCACTGTACTTTGAAGCACCAGCAGCGTCAAAATAGTGTATTGCCTCCGGAACGACAATAGTGCGAGGTCAGAAGACCCATGGGGCAAGCACGCCAGCAATGCTTGGACTTGGCGTAGGAACTGAAGCCCCCCAAGGAGAGCGACCTTTGCTGCTGGCTGGTTCTGAGAATCCTCTTTGGCTGGAGGGGCCCACACGGCATGGGGATCAGCATGGTAAGAACACGCGCAGTCTGCGCGGCGAAACACCGCGCAGCGGCACGGGCCTGACCTTGAGGGACGTCGCCTAGGTGTGAAGACTTGAGATGACTCTTTACCCTGCTTAGAACATCGTAGAACCATGCGCCATGCATGTTTTTGTTCGACCCTAATAGGGTTCAACTAACTCAGGCTCATTCCCAACAGCGGAAAGGGCTGCGAGCCTCCTGTCCAGTCTGAGCCACCTGCCTTCTGGGCACAGCCAAAAAGGCGTCTTGAGCATCAGAATAGCAAGCCGCCAGCAGAAAAAAAGGCCAGGCAACACTTGCTGGTGCTCAGTGGGAATGAGGGAATGCTCCTGGGGGTCCCCTCAAAGAAAACCACAAGGGAAGGCGTATAAGGTTTATTCCCTCCCCTTCTGAGCAGCAGCGAGAAATCTAAAAAAAACAACATGTCAATACCTACACACCTGCACACACAAAACTACTGCTTCTGTCGAACTACCACAAAATGGTTACGGTTTGCACACGTCTAGCAAGTCTGCGGCAAACAGCGACAGGGCTACGCCTAGATGCAAAAAGGGCCAACTTCAGAAGCATCATGCAACATAAGGGACATGGGCAATCTGGAATACATGTCAGCATTGGCGGGGGGTCTAAGGCTTTGAAGATGTTAGGAGGATCGCCTATGTCCCTGCAAAGGCGTGGCTGTGCAGGGCATTTCTGGCGTTCGCACAATGGCTCCTTAGACGGGATGTGGGGACCCATGAATGCACCTGCCAACAAAGGCAGAGAAGAATGTATAGGCGTTTGGGGCGGCTCGATTATGCGCCAGTCTTCAAAGTATTGGTTATCACAGATAATCATCTCTTCTCGTTCTTGGCGCTTGCTCCGGCCACGTAATGTGCAAACGCCTCTCATCAGGTTGCGATGTGGAATGTTTGACATGACTGGGAACTTGCCGCCTCAGCACAATGTTTGCTCTGCAGTTGTCCAGCGAGGCCATGCTCCATATTTGGAACTGCCCTTGTGGAAAAGCCTATTATCCTAGTCACAAATGCTTTCAACGAAAGCGATTTGTAGGAGAGCACCAGTGCGCTCGATTATGTACAGTTTCGTCCCGCAGATTCGGTTCTCAGTACTGGCGCGCTCAGGGTGGCAGGCTTCGAGCTTCTTGTAATTAGTTTTTGGGATCAAAGAAACCGAATGATGAACTCACTGCTAGTCAGCTTGGCAGTGATCAATGAGTTCGGCATTACTTGGCGCTTCTGAATCCATTGCCAAGTCCTGCCGAGGCAGCACAGTGCCGATCCTCATGCAAACCCATCTTTGCGTATGCGGTCTTGGCCCAACCATGTACTTACCACTACTCTGAAGCTCACCTAAGAAAACTTTAAGACAAACATATTAAATATCTGCGCCACCTCTGTGTGTGCGCATTGTTGAGTGGTTGAATGCCACAGGTGAGTCATAATCAAAACCTGGTATTAAAATGGTCTACCCAGAACCATGTAAAGAATTAAGAAGCCGGATATCCGCAGCTATTTTATGGCTGGGATTGTCCCTTACTAACCTTCATCTACCCGGGTGTTGATTGTGGCTCAGGTGACGCGCTTGCCGTGGCCTCCAGATGCTCCTCCAGGCCAACCAGCGCTCTCTGCAAGTCACGGGCAGCAAGCTGCAGAGACAGCCTGGCACCAAAGGCAACGCCAAGCGCTCTGCCAGACTGACATTGGACCGTGCCTGCACGATGTTTCCTCCGCGAACTTGGCCTGGACCTGTGGCAAATTCACCCACCTCCCTTCCAAGCCTGCTTGTCAAAATGGTGCGGATGATTGAAGGAGAAATATACAACCTGCCGTTATGGACAGGTGCGAGTGATGTGGCCGCACTTGCTGGGAAGAGCATGTTTCAGATGTAAGGACTACTTGGTATGATTGAGGACTGCAAGCCAAGGATTGCGCCTGTCATAGTCTACAATTCAAAGCCTTTTCAATCACACAGGCCAAGCCGAGCTGTGGCCGCGGCCATCTGCAATCTCACGCAAAAACATTGCCCAATGACGCTGCATGAGCTTGAAGATGAGGTAAAAACAACAGGTTGAGCCATTGTTTGTGACAACATCTGGCAGCCACAGGGCAAACGCCTGACGAGACTGGATAGATACGCTTGGGAGGCTTGGAGGCAAATACGCTGAATCCACCAAATCTCGTTCGTGGCTTGGTGCCTTTTTGAGGCGGGAGGCAGGTCTGTACAGGGCTGTGGCGGGAACCAATCTTGCTGGGAGCTGGAGCAGAGTTTTTGTTGCGAGAATCCTTGCCAGATGTCGCAGCAAGACTTCTCCTTGGATGCAACTTGAATGTGGGCTCCCTACATCACGTGTCGCTCCAAGATTCTTATGGCTAGCCATGCCCCATTGCGGACAAAGTTGGGTGGTTGAAAATTTGTTGGAAGCCAATGATCTTGGCGAGGGAGCTACAGCTTTGTCGTGGTTCAGTCAGTGCCTGCTGCCCAATCCTGACTCCAGCTGTGGCCCCAGGCTGTGTGAAGCTGACATCTTGAAGGCAGCGGTCCAACATTTGAGCAGTGTTCTAAATATTGCCTCCCGAATACTACTTTCAAGTGCAGGGGTTTTAGAACGTCGCTCAATTTTTGGGAACATACTGAAACCCGCCCAGGGTTCACGCTTCACCGTCCCTGCTTGCAAGCAATTTGATCAGTGCCTCCTGCAGCCGGCGCCGCAGCTGCAGCACTTGACCCCCGACCTCCAGAGTCACCATCGCCACCTGCAGATCCACTGATCCACGTGTCCAAGTTGCACTCGCAAGTCCAAACGCCAAATGGTGAAAGGAGCGCAGCCTCGCCCCAGTTCTTCATGACTTCCTGGCGCCTGCGCTGCATTTGCTTGCTCTTCTATAATCGAATGAGGCCAAGCTCAATGTGTCAAGCGCGCGCTGCACAGCTTATCTTCCGGACGCCTTGTCTGCAGGTCCCGAGCTTCCTCCTCCAAGCGCTCGGAGCGCTGCCTTCCGCGGCTTGCAACAAGTTGCACCCTATGTTTCGAGTGCCAGCCGCCTGCATCGCTCCAAATCAGCCTGCCATTGATGCGATCTATGCTTCACATGGCGGCTGTGGAGATTTGCGTTCAACAGTATGCTGCAGTGACCAGGCACATATCCGTGAGATCATGCAGGCTGCCTGCAAGGCTGGCATGAGATCGGAAGCATGCCGCAGTCGAGCATCCACATTTGCTACCTGCAAGCAAGCAAGATACGTTGCATTTAGTGCTCATTTCTTTCACCGGAAATAAGCCCGTCAACGACGCCTTGTCACGAGTAGATTTCATGCGCTCAATGGCTTCTTGGTGTCTGCTCCAGCACTCCTCACAGGTAGCAACTGGTGAATGAAGCCACCTATACAGATTATGTTAAAACAAGAACAGACTCGGAATTCAACATATCATTGATGCATTCTCCTGCGCAGAGGGTTCTGCTAGAGCTTTCTCGCCAGAAGCAATAGCCTTCCTCATGCCAGCACAAAAAGCCATTTTGGTCATCTCTCGTGCATTGATACGCCATGCGAGTACTGTATATGTCTGTCTCTGTGTGGCTCTGTCTGGCTCTGACTGTCTGTCTGTCTGTCTGTCTGTCTGTCTGTCTGTCTGTCTGTCTGTCTGTCTGTCTGTCTGTCTGTCTGTCTGTCTGTCTGTCTGTCTGTCTGTCTGTCTGTCTGTCTCTCTCTCTCTCTCTCTCTTTCTGTGCCATTCTCTCTTTCCGTCTCTGTCTCTGTCTCTCCCTCTGTATGTATGCCTGTGTCTGTGTGCCTGTCTGTCTGTCTGCCTGGCTGCCTGTCTGTAGGTCTGTCTGTATGTCTGTATGTTTTGTAATGTAGTGTAGTGTAAGTGTAGTGTAGCGGGTTCCTACTTTGCGTCAGCGTACAAAGCACACGTGTATGCATATCAAAACAGATTGCTAGCTAAATGCATACATACATACATACATACATACATACATATACATACATACATACATATACATACATACATACATACATACATACATACATACATACATACATACATACATACATACATACATACATACATACATACATATACATTACATTACATTACATTACATTACATTACATTACATTACATTACATTACATTACATACATACATACATACATTACATTACATACATACATACATACATACATACATACATACATACATACATACATACATACATACATACATACATACATACATACATACATACATACATACATACATACATACATACATACATGCAAACTAGCTCGCGTATATAGAGAAATAATTTACAGATGTGCAGTTTAAGGCATATAACAACTTAGGCCTTTTAGGGTGGGTTAGAAGGGAACACATTTAAGGGAAAACCGGGCCCTAGGACACCCGCATCAATTCTCCGATCGATTTTCGCACAGGACCCAGGCACAGATCCTGCGCGTGACAAGATGGAGGCTGCTCAGGGTTGCAAGGGCTTGGGGCGAAGTGCCCTTTTCACCATATTTTGTTGGGCCCCGTAGATGGACACATTCCCAAAGGGGGAGCAGGAGAACCGGGACGCTCGCTTGAGCCAACATTCCAAATTCCAAGGAAATGGGCGGCGCGAGCCCCAATTACCACAAAAACAGACTGGTCCATTGCAAGGGTTGGATTTTCAGAATGTTGTGGGGGCGAAGGAATCTGCTGCGCACGGAGGGAGTGTGGTATCCAGCGTCAGGCCCAAAACGGAAATGGGCTGAAGCGCTTGCACAATCAGCGTGGCTGAGAGCGGCGGCTCCACTTGCACGCGGCTCGCAAAGAAAAGGATGCCTCACAAGCACTATGTTGAGAGAGATGGCCTGTTTGTGGATCTGCGCATGTTCTTTAAGGCTGCGCTTGATACAGAACCAGATCCACGCTGAGCCCAAAAACAAAGAACCCGCTCTGATTGGCGCCTTTGGTTGGGCTTTCAAGCAGCATGAAAGGATGCGTTTCCGTTCTTTACTAGGTGTGGACGGTTCTCAGCCGGCTGACTCCCACGCAGCAAGAACACAGAAACCGCTGGAGCGGGCCTGGGCTTCACGGCTGAAGCTTGCGCGCGCATCATACGGAAGCTGACCAGGCATGTCAAAGATCCGCCTCACTTGACGCAAGTCCACCCGACCCGCAACTACATCTCGTATAGCTCTCTGCACATGCTTGACACCCAGCAAAGCGACTAAGTTGCGCTGAAGCCAGCTCAGAGGAGCCAGCTCTGAGTTGCGCTGCATACTTGTGCCTGGCCAGCAGACACACGACGAGCTGTGGAAGACTACCCGGGATGAGCATCTGCGTAGCCTGGTCGTGCTGAATTACACGCAAGCCAGACACTGTTGGCACGCGCTCGGCTTTTACTGGAATGTTCGGAACACTGGAACATTGGAACACTGTGAAACTGGTGCAAACAGTGGAACAGCGGAACATGAGGAACAGAAGACTGGACCACTGGACACTGGGACACTCGGATGCCTGGAAGACTGGAAGGCTGGAACACTGAAACACTGACTAACACACTGCAACACTGGCTGAACACTGGAACGACACTGGGACAATTGTGGAACGCTGGAACACTGGAACAGTGGCAGCTGGAACACTGGAGAAAGACTGGAACATTGGAACACCGAACACCTGGGAAGGAACACTGGAACACTCGAAGACTGGAACACTGGAACAGTGCACACCTGGAACACTGCAACACTCGATATCTGGAACACTGCAGACACTGGAATGACTGGATCACTGGACACTGCGCACTGAACACTTGGATGCTGGGAACACTGGAACTTAAAAACACTCTGCAGTGACTGGAACACTGGAACACTGGAACAGTGGAACATTGGAACAGTGAACCCTGCAACACTGGAACACTGGAACTTTCTTCCACTCCCGGTACGTGTTGTTCCGTAGCAGAGGATCAAGCTCCGTGCGGTGATCCATTCGCCCGCCCAGTCTTAATCCACTGTCGCTCAGGCCAAATCACGCTATTGGAAGGAATCCACTCCAACCACGGTGTTGCCGTGTTGCGAGCGCCGTACCCTAAACCAAATGTGACTACCTCAGTAATCTGGCGATGGCAGTTGCGCAAGTCCATGGGCAACTGACGAAGGCTTTGCCAAGCCAAGTCAAGAACTGTATCACACTCACCCATGACATGAAACACTCAGATCCCTATCACTCCGATCCTAGTCACATCTTTTCGCCGTATGCCTTCAAAACTTGTTCACGAACGTGGCTCTGTCAGACGACCTCTGCGGACTCCCTTGGTGGAGGCAGCGCTCTTCACTTCTACGAGGTGGTGGGCAGCAACATCTAGCAAGTTCTGACTAATGACAAGAGCGTTGGGGCGTCTAGCAGGTCCCGCCGAAACTGACGCGCCTCCTTGGCTTTCAGATAGGGGCTCGGCTACGTATCAAAACGCGCGGCTTTGCCAGGCTGGGGCCAGGGTACTGCCGCGTAGTAGTGCGCGCGTTGTGTTCGTGTCTTGGCGCGGGTCGGGTCCGGGCGGTGGCTTCTTGGGACAACGTGGGACAATGAAAGGGTCAAAAAGATCGGTTTCTGACAACTGAGAAAGCTTGGGCTTGAATATACCTTCGTAGCCTCCAAGCCACTTGAACGCCA